TTGGTACTAGGACAAAAAGTATCCACTTTTTGTACAGTTGCCATGGTGAAAGCGATTAATCCGCAAAACGTCCATTTTACGTACCGAACACTGTCACAAAATAGTGTCTTATTCAGGTGGTTGGAGAAAAAAACATTTTTTTAAACAAAAGCAAACATACAAAAATCCTATGACGAGGATCAGCGTTGGACGAAGGTTTAACGGGACACGGCGTTTAATGTATGCCTTTATGGTATTATTTGGTAGGAATTACGAGTTCCTCGTTTTAGCGTCGAATTTTAAACGAGACTGTTATGCTTTCTCCCAATCGTCCGATCGCTCGCCGGTCGCAGGCTTCATGTGCATGGATTTTAAAAGAGAACGGGTGGACCGATTGTGCGATTAAATTTTGCAGATGGATTGTTTGTAGTTCGGAATTCGTGAATTGACAATGTAGGCCAAAAAATAACGAAGACCCTTTTGACATCTCTGTTAGTTATGAACCGAATTGCATGAAATTTTGTATGTAGACACCTCGAATAAAAGTAAAAAGAATACTGAACCAAAAAATGTGTTTTGACTTTTTTTATTGGTTAAAATTATATAAAATTTTGTGTGTAGGCACCTCGAATAAAAGTAAAAGTATAATGCCATTGGATGCATGAATCTATCACTAATGCAAGTATACTCAGGACACGAAGTCGCGAAATATCAAGTTTAGTTCTCAAAAGGACTGATTTTTTTGTTAAAATTTAGGCAAATGGACACAAAAATCATAGAAACTAAGATTTTTGACGGAACTTTTAAATCTGTCTTCTAGTTAAAAAATAGAGTGTAGTAAACTAAAAAAGGGTGATTCTTACCAGTTAATTCCTGGATAGCTGTAAACAATGTTCACTTTGTTTTATACTCGGTTTTATACCTATCTATCTAATAAATTAAAGGAATTTAGAGTGGTGTCACGTCTGAATCTCACTAACAATGAGATAAAAAGAAAAAACTTCAAATTTCTTTATTGTGATGTTACACGAAAAGTTTCTCAATTTTCCAGGAACTAAATTTCTGAAAAATCCTATTTTTAGTGGAGTACCTATCTATAAGTAGATATTCGAAAACCAAATGCATTTCAGATTACCTGCTGGAAAAATGGGCGGTGGTAAACGCTGCAGCGTAGCGAGCTGTAAAAGTCAAGATGAGAAAAACGGAGATTTATCTTTTTTTTCGTTTCCCAAAGACTCACAAAGACAATCAGAATGGATCAACAAATGTAACAGGACAGACATTTTCAATCCACAATTTGCACGTATTTGCAGTTTACATTTCCTACCAATCCATTTCGAAAGAAATTTAAAAGCCGAGCTCCTTAATCTTCCGTGCAGAAAAAAATTAAAGCCAGACGGTAAGCTATAGTGTGCCGAATTGTTCAAAATTATCTTATAACTTTATTTTATAGCGATACCGACGCAGCTGTTGAAAACCAATGACAGTCCATTGGAAATTACTTCTAGGGAAGAAAAGGTACCAGCAAAACGAAGAAAATTAGGAAAATTATGAGTTAGAGTAGATAAATGTAAATGTTTGTTTATTATATTTAATTTAAAATAAGTAGGTATAAATCTTTCCATTCCATAAGAAAACCATACCTACTGATTTTATTGGTATCTAAGCGTATAACAATGTCCTACCTTCCAAAACATTCTCTAAACTTTTCCACTGTAGCCTCCCCATTAGTGTTATTCATTATAAATACCGCAGGTCACTTTGAGCGACTATCGATTATAAGTAGCGTCTTGGTAGGTTAGACTGGCGCGTTGTGCGCAACATTCGGGAGGTGGGCCTCCAGGGCACCGGTGTGAAAATATTGTTCTGTTGCTTGAACTCCAGAGGAACCCCGCAACCGATTCATAAAACGGTGGATTGCTTTTTCTTTAAGAATGGGTACCGCCATCATCGCGGCAACGCGATATAGAACCAGAGTTGCCTGGGACTGGGACTCTGTCTTCGCCACCATCGTCGTCTATGTGTAGCGAACATTCCAGAAATTTCGATAGACATCGAGGCGCCATGAAAGATTATTAATCGGTGATAAATAATGATGGCGGATGTGGCGTAATCATTCCGAGAGATATGACGTATTTGTTTGAGAACATTCTAGAAGAACTCGAAAGTTTTCGGAAGCGTTCGGATATTTCGAGAAAGAGGGGGCGTTTGCTATATAAGCAGATCGACTGTTAACGGGACCTAAATTTGTTTGACAGGATGGCTCTGCATGTAATTTTTTCCCAAATGTTACCAACTGCAAGTATAACGCGAGTCAAAATAACAGTGCTGGATTGGAGGACCTCTAAGATCATCATACCTGTTTAGCACCTAAACGTGTTCGATTTGTTTCAATTGCGAGTTTTAGATAATACTCGTATCAATCTTTGAGAGCGAAAAGTCATCAGGGACTAGATCCACGTCTCGTGGTTTAACGCTTGGATGAAAAATAACTGGATGGCTAGCAAAGTCGTGTGCGTTTTGTGAAACGAAATTTGACACACGTCAATGTTCCGAGATTTAATTTTAAGTGTTTATGTAAATTTGTGTGCGTTAGTTGTGCTACTTTTACATAATTAATTAAAAATGAGACGGTGACGTTGTTTCGTAAAAAAATGTGATGCAGTTTATAACCTTCAAAACAAGGAGGTTGTAATGTTCCTAGGGGTCTATCAAGCCGACACTGAAAACGTTGACTTACCCTATACTTACCGTTGGCAACTCTGGCAAGAACTACTAGCAGAGCCACCTACTTTTCAAGTCGAAACGATGGACGTTCCGCGGCACTGTTGAGTTTGGATGGCAGTCGGCTCGATATGGGTGGCACGAATGAACTCCTACGTTGTGTAATCGGTTCTTTATGTGTTGGGACGTGAGACATAATCGGTAAGGGAATTAAATAAAAGACAGAACTTTTGTGCATAAGAAATGACAAGAACAAATAAATATATTACGCACACACAAGACCATGCCAGGGAAACCTTCTACGGGACTAAAACCCCGGCATAGGCCACACAAATACATGAAATAAATCACCTACAGCAATAAAGGCAAGAGAAAATACACATAAATAAAACATCTCAAATTATATGATAAAAATCAGATAATCAAATCATAGGCAATTAAACAAGTTCATAAAAACAAAATACATAAGACATCATAGATGCAGTGGAAAACATGATAAATCAATTCAAAAACACATCAAAATACCTGTACGATCAATTGAGATAACACAACTCGTAAAATAATAAATTGCATGTACATAGGAAACATCAAAATGGTGTGGCTCGACTCCAACCTTCATTAACATAATTTAATTTAACACGAAAAGTACATGTGAGAATGCAAATAGCAAGTGTTCATGTGAAAATCGATTATCGCTCAAGCAGAACATATTTTAAATAGAGGAAATGTTAATGAGAGGGCCCCCACTCGTATTGCTAAGATGTTAAGAACTACAATCCGCACGAGACGAGTAGGCAACAGATACAGCGAAAGATCGAACTGCATTAGGTACCTACTTACTCCACGGAGACAGAATGACCCACTCGCACACACAAACATCGAAACATCAAATAAAAGAGCCCCGTATAGCTAACGCACAAGAACTGCAGCGCCACGAATCAGAAAGTAACAGATACAGCGAACAATCAAACGTATTAAGTACTTACTTAACGGAATAGTTACGCATCGATCGGACAGAGCAACATCGCACTGGTAATCAACTCTCGTGAATAGCAGAAATAAATACTTAATTAAACAAAATAATGACATAATCATCTGTACAGTATAACACACACGATTCATCTAACGGTACTCAAAACCAAGGCATGGAGTACGCCATGATTCAGATTATCGTAGTTTATGCAAAATCAGCAAAATGTAAATAGTATCAAATTGTGGCAAGAAATTCAATGATTAAATCGCTAGTATGTACAAGGAAGGAATAAAATGGTTACTACCTGTAAATACACCTTCAAAACAACAACACCAAAATAATCAAGAAATAAAAAAAAAAAACGGGAAAGCGTATGCCTTCCGTCGACCTCGTCGCCATCTTCTTCATTCTCCCCTAGCTTCGTTACCAAAATCCCCTAGTATTCGGCATCTGCGCAAAACGGTCGTTGGTTATATACAGAGCATATTATATTTTTGTTTCAGATGTAAACGTGTGTTGCCTAACCATCAGGGTGGATTATCACACGTTAAAACAGAAACGTTTTTCGCGTAAGTAAAAGGCTAATTCGGTTCCTTCAATTTTCCCAAATACATCAAATGAAAATAGTTTCTCCGACCAAGAACAAGTTGAAGAAATTACATTAGATGAAAATGTAAACAGATGTAAACACTTTCGCTGGTCATCAAAATATGAATCTTAATCGTTGTGTAACACCCTCACCGTCATGTTATACACGTTATCCTGGAGATTGCGTAGACGCTGCAATAAACATGTATATTTTTTAAATAAAAGCTTATTCCACGATCTATTGGTATCATTATCCAAAAATTACATCTACTTCAAATTTATTTATTATATAAATTAATTCATCAGGTATAAAGTTAAACAGTTATCGTATTAATATTTTGTGTGGATATACTTGCCCTTGCAAATTTCAAATTTAGCGCCTCAGATTTAGTTCCATGTTTAGTCATACCCAGTGATGGTGCTGCAGATGTTGGCTTCAAGTTTTATATTAGCTATTACCCGACGCTATCAGTTCAGGTTTTAATGGTTGAAGATTTAACGTCGATTTTAGTGCTCTTTTTGGTAAGGTTTTCCACCCAACCCCTATATACTCGGTACTTAAAAACAAAATACGTACTAAATATTTGTCATGTCATAATTTGAAAGCTGACGCCAAAAATTTCTTGTAAGGATTTGTGTGCAATTTTGAAACAATGTGCAAAAATCAAAAGGCAACTCTAAATGCTGGCAATGAAGGTGCTTCTCGAACGAGGGGCGATTTGCCCGAGCAATGCCAGGAAACGAAAATAAGTGAAACTCCCGCGACAAATTCTATTGTTAACGCGAAATCAAACATCTCTAACGAATGCCGATTCACGTCTAAAAGTATTTCCCAGAATCAAATTGAAGAAACTGTCGCGAAAAATCCAAAACGTTTAAAGGGTGGTATGGCAAAAATGTACTTGTTGTAAACCAGAACGAGTTACGTTTTTTCTCTACTAGGATATGCCGAAGATCGTACTGTCCAGCAAGCTGAGGTAGTTAAGTACTTTTCAGGCGGACCACCTGTTTATACCTTTGCGGATGAGATATGGCGGAAAGGTCTGGAGAAAAAGCAGGAAAAATATCGAGAAAATCTCAGGACGTTGCAAATTGAAAATAAGAAGTTTATGAAAAGGCAAGGTAGGTAATACGTTCTAGAGCACTGTCTTTTTCTTTGACTTCATTTAAAAGCCTCTTGATGACAACAAGGTAGAATCAAGATTAGATCCAGATCGAATTGTTTCGTAAGGTTATGTTGGTTCATCTTTTTCTATATTTTTTGGTATAATTCTCCACATGGCGTTCTATAGTTTGTATCGTAGTGCAAACAGCGTTTTGTTTCAAGTTGCCGCGGGTCACAATGAACTTATGGCATTGGTGGGCCCCGATTGGTTCCAAGAACTTTCCCCAAACCAACTAAAAGCGGCAGATAACTTAAAAAATTGTATTCTCAAAGATAAAAGGTACAAATGCATTACCTACACCAAGGATAATATTGGAGAGCTTGGCCTGGTACTTCGACCAAATCAACGGCATATAAAGAAAGCATTAAATAACTGCTGCGAATGTCCAGTGGAATTTTTATTAATTTTGTACCAACTAATGAACCAGAAACGTAAGTTGGCTTCCGATTAGTCCAACCATTGAATAAAAATTTTATTCAATGGTCCAACTTACTCTGTGATAAATTTCAGGTACCGAATACTCTATCAACGATCGTCTGCTTTTGTCTGCGGTTGCGCATTTAACAATGAGAGAGACGCTTAAGGAGTTACACATTCGCATACCGTCGCCTCCACGCTCGCCAAGAAAACGAAACCCAGTGCTCGAGCAACCACCAAAACCTCGCTATAAATCTCCATATTTGGCAACCTTCGATTTTGTTCCATGTCCTAGAAAGTACACAGGAGTGTACAAAAATAAACACGTACAACACCCGGAGAGCCCATATTTTGCTTATATCACCGAATTGGTACCTTTTTAATCTCAAAATGTTTTAAGTAGGTAACATGCATAATTTTAGAAGCAAGAGAGAGCATTTGAAAATAACGAGAAAAGGAAGACGTATATCCAGAGAAAACGTATGTTACGATTGCGCGATGTGCGATTTCATATTGTGTTGCAGAATCCGGCATAACAGTGGACCAACAAAAGGAAATAGTGGCGGAATTAAAGTCCGCCCAGAAGATATACGAATCGTTGGTAGATTTCGAACCCGTCCCGTACCTACTAAAACCATCTATTTACATTCCTTGCGATCATGTAGCGAAGCTTCCGGAAGAGTTGGCGATGGGACACGAAGAAACCGAGCTAGAGCAAAAGGATTTGTCAATTCCAATCGCGTTCGAAGACCCCCCATGTGATGAATTATGTGGGGTGGAGGAGCAACAGATAGAACCTGAAAAGATTACGAGTGAGGTTTTGATCGTTCCAGACGAATCAATTGAGCAGCCGAAGAGCGTGCCGGAAGGTGAAATGTTGGTGGTTGCAAGGGTACCCTCACTTGGTTGCACTTGCAAAGAAGACGTGGAAGAAAGCATTAAGACTAACCTATGCCAGTGCGCACAGTGCACTGCCCGCAGGCAGGAATTGTCTACTGGAACTTGTAAGTGTATGGCGGTGTATGAAACGAAATTGCAAATTTATGAAAAATTGAAGCAAAGGTTTGATGCCCAACAAGGTTTGATATCGATGCCAAAGCCATATGTGGTAGGCGGTATTACTTACACCTACGATGGGCAGCCAGTGTATATGTTGTCAGGGGTTGCTCCAGAGCTAGAATGCTGTTGTGCAGCAATTCAACGAGATCAACTTCTGGAAGAGCAAAGACGCGCAAATATGCCTACCATTCCTTTAGGAAAGCAAAAATATGTCATATCCGGAGTACAATCAACAGACAAAGGGAACGTCTTTGTAGTATCAAGCGCTGTTCCCACAGAAGATTGCACATGCATGAAGCTTTTCAAAGCATACCAAGAACGACACGTTCAATGTTTGGAAGTCTACCAAAAGTACTTAGAGAAGATGCGGATAGACGTTCACGAGTATATGTTGGAAATGACAAATGATCCCAGGTTTCAAGAAGAAATTACAAATGATCCCAGGGCTCAAGAAGAACTTACAAATGATCCCAGGTTTCAAGAAGCTGAACTACCCGCGGTAATGCTAGCCACTTGTCCAGTCGAATTATGTAATTGATTTTAGATAGAGGAACAAGTTGAGGATTCCAAACCTGAAGACCAAACGACGATGCAAATGTGCTCGACTGTAAGATCAACCATTGTAAATGGGGGCGAAGATGTTCAACTCGCAATCGAAAGTGGTGCTGCAAACGTGCCTAAATGCGAGTGCGGAGGTGAAGATCCGTGCAGTAATTCAATCATTTACCTGACGGGGGATGCTATACAAGCTACATGCATCTGCACTAAGCCGCCACCGGTTTGCGACGAGGCCTGTGGAAAAATTGAGGACGAACCAGAAAGCGATTCCGAAATGTCAGATTTATATAGGTTTATCATTTTAAACAAAATGCCGTCGAATTACGACGATCAGATGAACATCCTAAAGGTGACAGCCCAACTAAACATCATTAGCTCAAAGTTAAATTTAGACAGCACTTCGTATAATGGCGGACGATGGGTTTCCCCTAGCAAAATTGCCCGACAGTTGGAGTTTGCCGATCTTCAGGTTGTGGATGGACATGCGGTGTCGCAGATATTGGACACAAGAGGACCGTTTAACTTTTTATGAGGAAAGTATGCGCCATTGGAACCACTTGATTTACTGCGATAGAAGCATTACGGCAGGAGCTAGATTGGACATGTCTACACAAAAAGCAAGGCAGTACACTTGGGCGCACGCTTATAGTGTCCGGAAAATTGTACGTTGCGATGCCGTAAGTTTTTGGTATGCTTATTTTTGCAATGATTTGTAGGCCGCTACCAAGGAGAATATTTACTATCGTCAAGTGAAACAGGTGGCAATCAACGAAGCTCGGGAGTTTTTTCCTTCTACTTTTTCGTACGAGTTGCCCACCCCTAATTTTCGAGATTGTTTTTTTGCTTATGCTCCTGCTAAAGAAGACGATTGCACTTATTTTAGGCCTTGGTTTTCTCATGAATTTAAAAAGAAATAATCAAAATGTTTGGTTAATAATTAATTAATAATTACTGTGTATCTGATTCGTTTTCACGTTACTATTGGATCTAAGACGTCCAACGATGGTCACAACGTTCACCAATCTGGATTTGGTCATAAGGTTTACTACTTAATTTAGGTGACCTTTAGGTGAATATATCTCCCACCGCCACCGGTGTAAATCCGAACATCCAATTCTTCGTTTCCTTTTTGTCATAACGTCCACTTTGGTCACAATCTCCAGGAATTCGCATGAAACATTACGACCCGAGGTAGTGGGGGACATGACTATCAGATTGAATGGCGAAGAAACAAAAACACGAAATAATCATTACAATACCTCCACAAATGAAAAAGTTCCAAGATTTTAAATTTGCGCTTGGAAAAAGAATTTAGTTTCAGCATGTGACGTCACTTGACTTATCGACGTCACTACGGGAGGGGAAAACCTAGTTCTAGTACATCATTGGTGGATGAGTAGGATGGTGTCTGATGAATCATCGCTTTCAGACCACAGGCACATTTTTTTCGAATTAAATCTGGCATCTCGCTGCAGGTCATCTAGGTTTAGGAATTCCCTATCCACTGACTGGGGACGGCTGTGTGACGAAACTGTCAGAGCGGTTCGACGAGCCACCTTTGCTCTGTCGGAAAGCAGAGCAGGTGAAAGAGGGCGTCGCATTAGTAAACGACGCCTATGAAGACAGCTGTAAACTGCGGACTTTTCAAGAAACGAACACCTTGGTGGAACTCAGACTTTGGATAGGATCGCAAGGAGGATCGCGTTTATCAACACCACGTTCGATTCTATTAGTGAAGCTGCTGCTGAAGGATGGCATTGATATGGTTCGATCGTAAGATGGATCCGGGCCATGTGCGGAAGCAGAGTCATTATATCGTCAATCGGGACAACGGAGATGAGCTCCTCGGTCATTAGAGAGGATGTCCACAGGGTGGAGTGTTGTCTCTACTGTTGTGGTGCCTGGTGCTAGACGGGTTCCTCCGCACTCTGAAGGAAGATGGATCGTATACATAAGGATATGCGGAGGATCTCGCGATCGTCATAACTCGAAAGTTTCCGAACACCGTAAAAGAGGTCATGCAGAGGTGATGCAGTAGCCATGGCCGTTAACCCGGAAAAGACCGAGGTTGCTCCATTTAGGAAGAGAAGAAGAGCTGACCTTGATGGGCTCACTCTTCGAGGACGTCAACTGCGTCTGAGCAGGTCATCATAAACTCCCGCTGGACCGGTAAGGGGGTACATTGAGCGAATACGCAAAAAGATCATATTTCTATGGGCATGTAGAAGGGCTTATGACTGTACCGGGTAACCCAATAAGATTGTTCCTCGACCATATCTCGAGAACCGTTCGTTATATGACTTAGGAGTAAAAAAATTATTGGGTAAATCGGTCATGAAGAATCGCTGGAAAATATTTTCAAGTTTTAAAATTGACCAACAGGGGGCGTAACTGCCATCTTAAATTTTAAAACTGGATTTTCTTTAAATTTCGCATAAACTAAAAAAATTGTTTTCACATTTTTAAAGAGAACCAGTTTATCTATCATTTTCATAAAAACAAAAACTCAGTTATTTCAAAAACAAAGATGGTGTGGGGCGTTCGATTGTTTTTGCAATAACTTGCTTTAACTTCTCAACCGTTTGACCGATTTTAACAAATTTGGTATGGTTGAAAAGAGCATTCCTTGGACAATGAGAATCAAAAATATAGTAAATTTAGTTGAATCCTTCTCCGCCAGGGGGTTAGTTTTGACACTATGACTCAAAACCCTAAAAAAATAAAACAAGTTAAAAAGTAATCGTAAACGATTTACATAAAGCGCATTTCCACTTGCATTCATTTCCCATTTGTAAGATGCAACTTCTGTTAAAATCGTAAAAATCCGCCCACAAATATGAAAGATAGCGTTGCACATGGGCAATCCATTGTTGACGTGCTACTTCAATTTCAGTTTATGCGAAGAATTTTATTTCAATGCTTTTCTAAATAAGAAAGTTGGAACTGCGCATGCACAAACCTAAATTTTAAAACTAATGTTAGATTTTCCTTTGTTCCAAGCGCCTAAGTATCAAATTTCACTTAAATAGTTCCATAGATAAAAAAAAGTTGGCACTGCGCATGCGCAAAATAAAATTTTGAAACTGGCGCTAGATTTTCCTTTATTCCAAGTGCCTATGTATCAAATTTCATTTAAATTCTTCCATAAATAAAAAAGTTGGCACTGCGCATGCGCAAAACCAAATTTTGAAATTGGCGTTTGATTTTCCTTTATCCCAAGTGCCTATGTATCAAATTTCGTTTAAATTCTTCCAAAAATAAAAAAGTTGGCACTGCGCATGCGCAAAACCAAATTTTGAAATTGGCGTTTGATTTTCCTTTATTCGAAGTGCCTATGTATCAAATTTCATTTAAATTCTTCCATAAATAAATAAGTTGTTGGCACTGCGCATGCGCAAAACTAAATTTTGAAATTGGCGTTTGATTTTCCTTTAGCCCAAGTGCCTCTGTATCAAATTTCGTTTAAATTCTTCCATAAATAAAAAAGTGGCACTGCGCATGCGCAAAACCAAATTTTGAAATTGGCGTTTGATTTTCCTTTATTCGAAGTGCTTATGTATCAAATTTCGTTTAAATTCTTCCATAAATAAAAAATTTGGCACTGCGCATGCGCAAAACCAAATTTTGAAATTGGCGTTTGATTTTCCTTTATTCCAAGTGCCTATGTATCAAATTTCATTCAAATACTTTTGCAATTCGGTTTATAAATGGTCGAGATGCGAAAAGGGCACTGTGAATTTTGAATCGATTCGATCCAACTTTTGGCATTGCGTATTATATGGCTAAATCTATGCCCATATTGAATTTCATGCAATTCAGTTCATAACTAACGGAGATGTAAAAGCGATCGGACATTTCTAAACAAAGTTATCGTTCACACGGACAGATAGAGGGACAGACAGACAAAGAACAGACGGAGAGACCAACCGGCAGGCGACAGATAGCAATGCAAAATTATAAACGATCTCTAGGATCGTTAATAAACGGCAAAAGTGTAAAATTATGGAACATGTAAAAAACGGTTTTTTTTTTTTTACAATAACTTTTTTTGTAAGCGGTACAGAAAAAATTCCTTCCTTGGTGCAAGACTCGACACCATAACGAACCAAATAGCGAAAAAAGTAGAACAATAGCTCTTAAGATAAAAAACTAGTAGCGTCGCAAAGTTAGCGGACGGACGGACGGACGGACGGACGGACAAAGTGGCCACAATAGCGCATTTTTTTTTTATTTTTGTGGAAATGCGCTAAAAATAGGAGGCCGAAAAAATGTTACAATAACTAAACGATTGAAAATAATGAATAGCAACATGGAGAGTTATAGAAAGGGACAATACGCATACACGAGAGGAAAAGAAAGGTCGGTAATACATTACGTCTTAGTAAATGAAAAAGGAATGGAAGAAGTAAAAGCATTCATAAGGGGATCACCTGTCGGTAGAGATAGTTTGAAAAGGGAAAATAACTCGAGCAAAAGAGGTACAGTTATCATGGATAAAATATACCCGTGAAGAATTACAGAAGCAGGCTGGGGAATTGGGAAAAAGAGGAATGTGAGAAGACGGAGGAAGAGTGGTATACGGTGAAAGAGGGCGTTAAAAATGCAATTCCATAGAAACCGACGATGGTGTACAAAAGAGAAAATAGATACAGAACAATAATAAAACGAAAGGGGGGGATAAATGAGAACGAGTTAAGAGAACAAACAGAAAAAAAGACAGAAACACGAAGAAGAAGTCAAGAGATTCAAAACAGGAAATTGTTTCTAAAAATTGATTAATTAAGAAAGGGGAAAATGTAGTTTGATGGGAAGAAATAGAAATAGAGGATTGGAAGAAACACTTTATGAATGTGCTAAAAGGAAAACCGAAGAGATAGAGGAACTAATAGGAGAAGCGACAAAATAGATGACAAATATCACATGGAAGCTATCGTGGAATTACCACTATGACGACAGTGGATAGATTGTAGACGATGGTGCTAAGTGAGAGATTGGAATGGGAAATAGAGGAAAATGAGCTACTGGAGAAAAAACTGGAATTAAAATAGGGAGAGTAACCATGTAGAGCTATATATCGATCCTACATGCACTGGTGGAACAAAAACCAAAAAAAGAGAGGAGAAAAGATCGCACTATCAACTTATGAACCTAAAGGCGACGTTTCATATGGTCTTAAGAAGACAGATATAGAAAATTAGGGAGAGAAGGGTAGAACTAAGGAGCAGAATGAAGGAGTTATACGGAGAGATATAAGGGTAAAAGGGGAGCAACCAAACAATATCCTAGCCAGCCTAAAATTAACCTCAAAATTGCGTCTTGTGATGGAGGAAAAAAATTTTTTTTAACCTATAAACCTATAAAAAAATTCAGCAACAAAGAGAAACAATATGAAATTCGCGTGTAACCAAAAAATGCCGACAGGACGAGGGGAACGAGCTCCGACCGCCCTTTTTTAAATGTGATCCAATACTCGCATATTTAATAGTCCTGGACGTTGTTACGAAAATTCCAGGAAGTAGCCAGCTTCAGAACTTCACCCCCAGCTACACCCATCAACTGCATTATTGTCACAACAAACGTTTTTTATCGTATTTTAAACTTTCCCTTTTCCTCTATATCACGCTTATCCACTTTCATCCTTGGTCTATTGTGCGTGCCCCAGTGTCTTCCTTCGAGGGATACAGTTTGTCAATAAATCTTGAGATCCTCTCCAGCGGCAGTGCCCTGATCTGCTTAGGTGCTATTACAGCCTCGCGCAGGTTCTGTGATCTCTGTCTCACACAAGCAAATGGTATCTTCCGCTGTCTTTTCCTCCTCGAAGCAGAGAGGCGACATGTTTTATTCTCATGATATCTCAGTGCCCACTGACCAGGCCTATATATGACCTTCTGCTGAGTGCTAGCAATGAGCTGGTTTTAGTCTCCTGGAAACT